AGGAAAGAGGGTGAGAGGGCATGGTGGGGGTGATATGGGTGGGTGACACGGGGGAAGACGGGGAGGCCTAGATCAGGGGAGCAGCTCCCCTCCCTGCCATTGAAGAAGGGATAGCTTGAGAGTTCGAGCAATGAACATCATAGAGAGACTGTTTCTCACACCACCCCTGGTCTGGACACCAGGAAGGCCTACAGAACATAGCCCATACTGTACCACACCCCACTCTGGGCTTCTGTCAAATCTAGTCACTCATCATGTCTTTGAACACACTGTTTTGTCCCTGAACCCATCCCCTGCCCACCCACACCTTTCAGTACTGAGTTACCAACCCAGATACCATCTCCACTTTCATGTTAGGCAGGAGGTCAGCTCTGAGACTGACCAACAGTTCCCACCCCCCAAATAGGGTTTAAAGAACAATAGGTTAGGTAGGTGTGGTATTCTATGCCTTTCTTTAATACCAGCACTCAGGAGGTAGCGACGGGGAATCTGAGTTCAAGGCCAGCCTGGTCCATATAGTGAGTTCCAGGGCTACATAGAGAGTCTCTGACTCAAAAACCAAAAACAACAAATAAACAAACTGGTGGTAACAGTCTCTCTAGCTAGGCCAGCTTAGGACTCAGAAACTGAACGTAAAGACAGTGGTAGTGCTGACTGCTGGTCATGATCTAAAGACAGCAGCGGATGTCAGTGGACTCTGGATGGAAACCCAGACCCAGGAGGAACCAACCAGGCAGCTCTGGGCAATAGAATCCAAGAGATGTTAATGTTTTAGCTGACTCTTCTGTGTTTTGAATTATTAAATGATAACTCATTATTAAATGAGTTATTATTATTATATGTACTCATTTTATAATAAGTAAGGAGATTACTATAAATCAACTTCACGGAAGCACTCAGGCCCTGGAAACCAGCCCTATCTACTCAGCAGGCTGACTCAATGGGAAAAGAGAGATAGAGTTTGACCAGTCTTGTAACTGACCCCTAAGGACAAGGGCATCAGGGCCACCATCTGGGCTCTCTACTGGGACCTCTCATATCACCAGTTCCCTCAGTTTTTGGCATTTTATTGAAATTGTAACATGGGTTTTCCCCTTACACATTTCCTGTGAACCGCCCTGGGTGTCACCGTATGTTTTCCCACAGAACAGGCAGGGACACATTACCCTGGAGGGGTTGCTGGCCCTTCCTCCCCTGGAGTGTAGGACTGTGGGGCTGCCTCAGTCTCAGGAGCTAAGGGTGAGGGGAGACCCCACCCCCCCAGGCTGCAGGAAAATCTCAGCTATGGAGATAACCTGACCACAAGTGTCACTAAGATACTCAAATCCAGCTTTGACCCCAGTCGTCAACAAAGCTAGAAAGAAGTCAAAGGTCACGGGGGCAGAGGTAATACCCACCCAGAGGTCATCTCTCTGTCCATGGCTCAAGGCTCCTTCTTAATTAGCCTAGGCCCACATGATCAGTGGTATCCACGTAGTGCCAGGGAAGTGTTAGTGATATCCCCCCCCAAAAAAAAAGCCAGACAGGAGTCAATCTGATGCAACTCACAGCAGGGTCTTTATTCTAGTGGAGCTAGCTCAGGGACCCTCCAATGCATCACCATCTCACAGGACAGTTTTGGTAGTTGGGGATGCCCCGAATATCTATCGGGGCAAGGCTTTATAGTAAGCAGCAAGTGGGGGCGGGGGAAGGTTAAATGTGCAAGCATCTAATTGGAAAGCTACTGTGACCTTTAACATAATTGTCTGGTGCTGGGAGTCATATCACAAACTTAACTTCTGTTCCCCTCTGCATGGGTGGTCGTTAGGCAGGGGGTGGGCTTGTAACCTGGGGGTGCAGGTTTGTTGGGGGAATAACGAGGAGACACTGGTCTTGTTGAGGGTGTAAACTGGAAACTTGGTCTTGTTGGGGATTAGCCTAGAGACTGGAGCTAGGCTCAGGTTTTGTAGGGGGACAGCTTGGAAACTAATGCTAGGTACCAGCCTGTTAGTTTACCTGAGTTCAAACTTAGGTCAGGTTCTCTAAAATGGAGTCTGAATTTAAAAGATTTGGCCTCTCATTAATACACATACCAGTGGGTCTGGGAGGTAACGGCACAAGGACACCCGAGCCTGCACTTCCCCAGCTCTCCCTGGATCACCAGACTTCAGGGAACTGCTGGGAAGTAGCTCTGTGCCCTTTGCAGGTTGACCGGGGTGGGTGGTAGGACCTGGGCCTTGGTGCTTAGCAAGTCCTCCCTCTACCGGAGGCTGTGAAGGAGAGGAGGCCAATTCCCTGCCCCACTGCCTTGAGCGGCTGGCCTAGTACCCACGATCAGAGTCAAATTAGAACTCTGTACTGCAGGTTCAGTCAACACAAGGTCCTGGGCCTCTGAGGTGCTGCGTGTGTCTGTGCCAGCCCTGTGCTTGGACTCCCACCCTTCACACTGTGACACCCTACTGGGCCATGGATGGGCCTCTTTTCTGCCCAGCTCTGGGAATCTGTTAGCGCCAGCTACAAGCTGCTAGCAGTCACTTCCTGACTCTCACTTTGCCCTCAGTCCTCAAACAGCCCATTCTACACTCCACCCCCACTGTAGAAACCAGGGAAACGGGCTTGAAAAAAGCTCAGGTTTTGGCTAAATCACCGGAGGAAAGGAGGATCTATGCTCTTACCCAGCAAACCTGGCCACCTCCCTGGGAGGGTCAAGGGACCCACCTCCCTAAGAAAAGCCAGGCAGAACTGTCATGGATCAGTCAGTGGGGCTGGAGATGAACGGAGAGGTGATTTGGACCCTGCTGGTTGCTGTGGGGCCTGTCAGTTGTGTGTCCCGGGCGAGGCGCGATGATACAGTGTCCGCCCCCAGGCTCCCAGTAGCTGTATCCGTGGATGAGTCTGCGGGTGGTGGTTCACACCCACTTTCTGGTGGATCTGGAGCACGGTCGTGGTCTAGACTCCGAGGGCCGGGACTAGTCAGAGACAACAGTGCAGTCCTCTCTAATTGCAAACCAGTTTGCCAGGAGCTAGGAAGCGCGGGACACGGGCGCCCTCAGGCGGCAGGATAAAGAGTAGCGAATTCTAAAGAATTAAGGGTGCCAACTGGTATGCCCTCCAGCTTGTAGCTGGAGCTGGCCTTAAGCAACTCATTCTTTATGGAAGAACCTGGGGCCCAGTGGACAGCCCAGAGCACAGGACCAGAACATTGCTGAGGGCTGAGAAGGAGAAAACACTTAGGGGGTGAGAGGGTCTGCCCTAGGTAAAAGCCAGGCTAGCTTTCAGGGTGTCTCTGGCTGCCAGGTCGTCTGGGGAGATAAGCCAGGTTGTAAAGAGTCCAATGGACATTATTCCCAGGTCATCTCAAAGCAGGCTTGTGAAAGTAACTTTTATCCACCTGATGTCACTGTTATCTTGGAGGCTTACTGATGGATAAGCTCTTTTTCCAGCTCTTTCTGAACTCTGACCGATTGATCCAATTCAGCTGTTCTGGCTCCAAGTCGACTGATTCGATGTAGTTTGTCTCAGCAGTAAATTGCTCTGCTTAGCCTCAAACTAACTCTGTTAATCTGGCTCTGTCTCATTCTCTGGCTTCAACTGCCTCTGCTGCACAAACTGAACGAAACTGAACTCAACTCCACTGCCTGGGCTGACTGACTGAACTCAACTGACTGAACAGAACTTAGAGATCCATATGCCTCTGTCCCCTAAGTGCTAGGATTAAAAGAGTGTACAACCAAGTCTGGACTTGAGCTTTTCTTTACCTGAAACTTGCCTATACCAGGCTGGCCTTGAACTCAAAGAGATCTGCTTGTCTGCGTCTCTTCCAATTAATGGTGTAACTGTATTCCAGCCAGATCACACAGACCTAGGTCTTCGGATGTGATCCCTTGCCAGAGCAGTCATGTTGCTTGATTAACATTTCTCTACATCGGGTTTTTTTTTTTGGGGGGGGGATTCAAAGGGTATTAGGAAAGCCACTGAGAGGCCACTTGCCTCTTCCTAGACCTTTGTTCATGTCCAAGTAGCACTCTGATCCCAGTACCCAAGCAGAAACGGAGCCATGAGGACATCTTGCTGGCCTGAAGCCACTCACACACTGTTCTAGTTTGCTTTTTGTTGCTGTGATAAAACTCTTATCAAAGCCAACGTGGGGAGGAAGGTGTTCACTACATCTTAGAGGCTGGAGCTTATCTTCAGAGTATGAGCAGGAACCGGTAGCCAGCCGCTGAAGAGAAACCGCAGAGGACCGATGCTTACTGGCAACACTGCCCAGCATGCTCTACTTCAGACACAGTGGGGCACCCGGCCCTAATTTGGGCTCACTTTCTCCAAATCCCATCTCACTATGGATCCTGAGCAGAGATATCCAGGCATCCAGGGTGCTCTCTACCCTGTCTGTGCTTGGGCCCAGCTTTCTTCTGTGGCCCCAACCATAGCCCACTGTTTTTTATTTTATTTTTACAGGTGTCATTTGGGTGAACAGTTGGAATCACCCTTCGTCTTGGCCCTGCCTGCCCTAAGCAATACCGCACTGGGTGCACAGGGGCTGCTGAGCACGGAGCCGATTGTGCAAGAGAAACGGAGGCCGCTCCATCCTCCTGGTTCCCACTGAAGTGGAATTGCAAAGTCCAATTCCAGGACCTGTTTAGAGGACGAAACGCCATGCTGCACACATAGAGACCCGCATGAGTAAAACCGGCGTGAACCTGTCTCCCTACTCTACCCCAGACTTGCCCCATAGAAACATGGCGTAGCACGCACTCAAGACTTCTATCGTTTTATTTCCCAGGCTCTTTGCAAGAGCAAAGATCCTCCAGCAGCCACACCAGCACACGTCTAACACGCTGGCGGTAACGCTCGGCGGAAGCACCACAACCGCGCACGCGCCGCGGGAGGCACTTCCGGGGACCGGCCGAACGCCGTCCCACGCAGCCGCGGCTCTATTTCCGGTCCGCAGGGAGAACTTCCGGGAGGCGCTTCTTCTAGTGAGGCGGCGTTGCTAGCAGGCGGATACCTCCGGCGAAGATGGGGAAAGTGAGGGCGCTGCGGGCTCGTGTGCACCGGGCGGCCGTGAGGCCCGACGGGGAGGCTGCACCCGGCCCTGTGGCCCGTGCTTTGGAGCCGGCTCTCCCACAAGTGTCCGCGGGCGGAGCGGGGGCGAAGGTGAGGTGTGCGGGCCGTGGGTCGGGCCAAGCGAAGCCAGGTCTCCCCTGAGCGGGATCTCTAGAGAGCAGGAGCCCTGCAGGACTGGGTTGTCCTCAGAGCTGGAGTGTCAGCAGAGCAGGAGCCCCGCGTGGCCGGGGTCTCCGCAGAGCAGGACACTTGCCTGGCTGGGTCTCTATAGAGCAGGACACTTGCCTGGCCGGGGTCTCTATAGAGCAGGACACTTGCATGGCCGGGGTCTCTACAGAACAGGACACTTGCCTGGCTGGGGTCTCTATAGAGCAGGACACTTGCATGGCCGGGGTCTCTACAGAACAGGACACTTGCCTGGCTGGGGTCTCTATAGAGCAGGACACTTGCCTGGCCGGGGTCTCTATAGAGCAGGACACTTGCCTGGCTGGGGTCTCTATAGAACAGGAGACTTGCCTGGCCGGGGTCTCTATAGAACAGGACACTTGAATGGCCGGGGTCTCCACAGAGCAGGGTTCCTGCAGGCCGGGTGTCGCCTCCTCTCTGTGTGTTCCTGCCACTCTGCTTAGGGTCCTGACCCGATCCACCTTTAGCAGTCATGCCTTCTTGGTTGAGGTGTGAGGCTCCAGAAGCTCCATCGCTGTGGGGAGAGCATCCTGCTACGCTCTGGAAATATTTCAGGGCGCTAGCAAAGGCTCTTTAAAATCTGCACGGGGCTTTGAGTAAAGGAGAGGGCGTGCCTGAGATCTTTTATGCATGTGTTTTGAGTGCATGTATGTTTACACCGCATGCGTGCCAGCGAGGGTGTGAATCCCCTGGAACTAGAGTTAGGGATGGTTGTGTGCTACCATATGTGTGCTGGGAACCAAACATAGGTCGTTTGCGAGAACACCAAGTGCTTTCTAACCATGAGCCAGCCATTTCTCAAATCCCTGGTTGAGATTCACTCATAGTCTCACTCTGTGTGTGTGTGTGTGTATGTGTGTCTGTCTGTCTGTCTGTCAGTCAGTCAGTCAGTCAGTTCATCCGTCCACAGAGCAGGGCACCTGCATGGCCAGGGTCTCCACAATGTAGGGACCCTCCAGCCCGGAGTGTCTCTGTCTTTCTGTCTCTGTCTCTCTGGTGTGTTTTTGAGACAGGGTTTCTCTGTGTAGCCCTGACTGTTCTGGAACTCACTCTGTAGACCAGGCTAGCCTCAAACTCATAAGAGATCATTGACCTTCCTCCGCCTCCCAAGTTCTGGGGTTCAAGGCGTGTGCCCGTGTCCCTGGTGCTTGCTTGATGTTTTGGGTTTGGGGATCTTATTTTTATTTGATTTCATCTCATTGTTTTGTTATTTGGAGACAAGGTTTCACCCTAGCTCAGCCAGCTTGTCACTCTCCGTGCGCCCAGGCTGTAGCCCACTGTGCCCAGCTTTTATTTGTTGTGGTTTAAACCGAGAGTTCCCTCTGTCTCCTCCCACAGCCTCCCGTTGTGGCCCTGGATGTCTTGCTTTTTTTTGTTGTTGTTTTGTTTTTTTTCTGAGACAGGGTTTCTCTGTGTAGCCCTGGCTGTCCTGGAACTCACTCTGTAGACCAGGCTGGCCTCGAACTCAGAAATCTGCCTGTCTCTGCCTCCCAAGTGCTGGGATTAAAGGTGTGTGCCACCACCGCCCAGCTGCGGCCACAGATGTCTTATTTCCCCCATTTTTCTTTTAATTTGCTAACTTGACTCAAGCTTAACCCTTGCGTTGACAGAGATTGTTCTTAAGCCCCTGCGGCCAGCCATGTCTTTGCCCCACTGGAAGGCTGCGTGGTTGGTATTCCTACTTTTGTTCCTCAGAGATGCCTAAGGACCGGTATTTAGAGGATTCTCTCTGCTCACTCATGGGAGGGCTCACGCATACAGTTATAAGCGGCAGTCATGCCTTAATTCATAGCTGCTCCTGGATCTGTGTATGTTTGCAAGGAGGCTGTGCTCGCTCCCTGTGCTAGTGGGGCTCCACCCTACTTCTGGGAGACCAAGCCACTCTGATTGTCCCAAGTCTGATGGGGGCAAGCAGGAACAGGCCTGATCTGGGACATAGCTACTCTCCCAGGGCCTCCTTGCCTGAGAAGTAGAGGATTTTTGCCTTGACATCTTCTCGCTGTGTGACTCTCAAACCAAAAGTCAGCTTGATGTTGTCCTCTCTCTTCTCTTGTTGGGGCTGCAGGACTGGGCATTCGTTCACAATGACATCTTTGCCAGAACACAGATAGACCCTAGTGCGTTGGTGCAGCGGCTGGAGCCAGACCAGAAGAGTGTGGTGTCCCTAAAAAGAGGTGAGTCCCTGCTTTGGAGAGTTGAGGGGGCAGCCTGCCTGTTGCCTGTGTGATTGTTCTTAAGCCCCTGCGGCCAGCCGTGTCTTTGCCCCACTGGAAGGCTACGTGGTTGGTATTCCTATTTTTGTTCTTCAGAGATGCCCAAGGACCAGTACTTAGAAGATTCTCTCTGCCTGTGGACTAGCCTGTGCTTTAAAAAAACGACACTAGGCTAGACACATGTTACATACCTTAAATCCCAGCACTTGGGAAGCCAAGGCAAACTAATCCCTACATTCAAGGCCAGCCTGGACTACACACCTAGTTCAAGGATAGACAGGGCTATGTGGAAAGACCCCATCTCAAACCAAAGCAAACAGGTGTCAGTGTTACTTTTACAGGAAAAAAAGAAAGAACAATATACTGACACGGAAAGCTGAGTGCTGAGGAGCCCGGTGCTCACACATGGAGCGCCAGCGCCTGCCTTTGGCACACAGTTCCAGGCATCAGTGCCTGCCTTTGGCATTAACACGGAGTTCTTTTGAAGCAGGTGCCAGACTGCTCGGCAGGCATTCCATTCATCAGTTCTTCAGTGTGCATCCCTCAGCATCCTTACTCTGTAGACCAGGCTAGCCTGCCTCTGCCTCCCAAGTGCTGGTATTGAAGGCTTGCACTATCATACCTGGCTACCAATGGCTCCTTCCTTCCTTCCTCCCTCCCTCCCTTCCTTTTTTTGAGATTGAGTCTCTTTATAGCTGTCCGGGAACTCACTCTGTAGACTAGACCAGGCTGGGCTTGAACTCACAGAGATCGCCTGCTCCTGCCTCCCGAGTGCTGGGATTAAAGACGTGTGCCGTCACACCCAGCACTACCATTGGCATTCTTTTTTTTCTTTTATTTTTTTAAAGATTTATTTATTTTGGCCGGGTGGTGCTGGCGCACGCCTTTAATCCCAGCACTTGGGAGGCAGAGGCAGGTGGATTTCTGAGTTTGAGAGTTCGAGGCTAGCCTGGTCTACAGAGTGAGTTCCAGGACAGCCAGGGCTACTCAGAGAAACCCTGTCTCGAAAAACCAAAAAAAAAAAAAAAGATGTATTTATTTTATGTATGTGAGTACATGCAGATACACCAGAAGAGGGCATCGGATCCCATTACAGATGGTTGTGAGCCACCATGTGGTTGTTGGGAATTGAACTCAGGACCTCTGCTCTTAACCGCTGAGCCATCTCTCCAGCCCACCACTGACATTCTTAACTGGTGTATATAATTGGTCAGTCCTCGTGTATGTAAAATGGCGGCAGACCCACCTCATAGAGCCTGAGGTTACCATGTCCAGAAAGGTCCAGGCATTTAGCAAACACTGGTTCCTTGCTCCTTATTCCTGAGGCCAGCTCAGCAAGACCACCAGGCCAACTTCAGAGGAGTAAACATATCCTTCTTAGGGACAGCGAGATGTTCACAGGTTTCAGCGGAGCTGTGGGCCCTCTTACTGCCAACTGGACCTGAGGAACTTGGTGGTCTTACCGTGGTGGTGCCTCCCTCAACTCTGTCTTGTCCTTTTCCTGTTAGACTCTCTGTCAAGCCCTGTTATTTGGATGGTCCTCGAGACACCTGTCACCCTCTGACCCGCCTCTCCACTTGATAGCAATGCTTCCTCCAAAGGGTTAATGAAACAGTTAACTAGAGAGAGCTTGAAGATTATACCTGATTGAATTCTTTAGAAAATGATGTTTTAAAATTCTGTATATCCGCCGGGCGGTGGTGGCGCACGCCTTTAATCCCAGCACTTGGGAGACAGAGGTAGGGGGATTTCTGAGTTCAAGGCCAGCCTGGTCTACAAAGTGAGTTCCAGGACAGCCAGGGCTACACAGAGAAACCCTGTCTCAAAACACCAAAAAAAAAAAAAAAATTGTATATCCATATATGTCTATAAAACCTTAACTAAGCAACAAATCACATCTGATTTCTCACAACCTTTGTAGAGAGGCCTTTCGCCTCCTTAGTTGTCTGCATTTCCTATGGCCTGCCTCTTTGAGAGGGTCATAGGAACTGAAGTTTTTGTGTGAGGCAGAAATGGGTTTGGGGGACGTGGGAGGGCCCCTTAGCTTGGACCATGTATAGCTCTGGCCACAGAGTAGACCTGGTTCTCCATGCCCGAGATGCCTCAGTAAATGTATGTGTATGTATGTGCATGTATATATGTATATAAAAGGTCTGCTGGAGAACCATTCTTTAAAAAAAAAAACACATCTGCTGGTCAACCTCCTTTTATATCTGTTAAAGAACTCATTAAAAATAAAACATCAGTCCACCCTTACGACTTAGTCTTTAACAGGACAACTGGTCAACCACATATATACGTATGTATGTGCGTGCGTGCGTGTCCAGATCGGATATCAGCCCTCACCTCCTTGGGGGCCCCTCTGATGGCTATGTCTCCAGTTGTTAATTAACCTTGAGTCCCACATATCTGTCCTCAGTTAACTTTAGGCTGGACATAGGTGACTGTTGGAGCTCACAGAATGACCTGAAGAAGTAGGGTAGACCTGGCTCTTCCTCTGCCCAATAGCACAAAGGATCAGCAGCTTATGGGACATAACAATGCCTGCAGGACTCTTTGGGGACCGCCCCACGTGTAGAGAGGGACTTGCAGTTAGAAAACCCCAGTCCTTTATCATATTCTGACCTGGCTGAGTCGTTCAAAGCCCGCATCTCCCAGGACCCCAGGTCTGCATCTCAGACCCCTCTCCACATGATTCTTCTGGTTGCCTGGTACCTTTTGTACTCTTGGTACTGGCCACTTCTGTTCCTGGCCAGCTTAGTCTCTGAGCCAGGCAGGTGGAGGGACATCTGACTTGTGTCAAAATGTTCACGAAGGGAGCTGGATCCATGACTCAGTCTCTTCCTGCATTGGGCATGACTTGGTGCTGCAGACCTGACAGGGACAATGCAGGAATGAAGAAAGGACAGACACACATACAGGAAAGCTGCGCTTGGGTAGCCTCTGGCGGGTTGTGCTTGCTCTGATGGAGGACACCTAGGCAATCTAGGAACTCAGGGGTGTCTTAGGGTTTCTACTGATGTGACGAAGTACCATGACCAAACTGACGTGGGGAGGAAAGGGTTTATTTGGTTTACATATTGCAGTTCATTGAGGGAAGCCAGGCAGGAACTGAAACGGCAAGAGTCCAGCAGCCGGAGCTGATGTAGCGGCCACAGAGGGTGCTGCTTACTCGCTTGCTCCCCATGGCTTGCTCAGCCTGCTTTCTCATACACCCTAGGACCAGGAGCCCAGGGATGGCCCCACCCACAACGGGCTGGGCCCTCTTCCACTGATCACTAATTAAGAAAGTACCATACAGGGTTGCCTACAGCCTTATCTTATGGAGGCATTTTCTTACTTGAGGCTCCCTCCTCTGATGAGTCTAGCTTGTATCAGGCACCAAGTAGCTAGCCCAAGGGCTCTCTGTAGGGCTACAGTCTCACGTTGCAGTCATCTGCAAGCCAAAGATGTGGTTGGTGTTTTTTTTTTTTAACTCTTTGATCAATAGTAAACACTGTACTTGGACCAGAGGAGACTTTGCTATGTCTGTGGGTCTGAGGCTTGTGGTCTTTGATATGGCGATGCCTGTGTCAACAATACACATTTACTGAGGACTTCATACGCAGCCCCCATTGTCTGCTCAGTGACCTGCTGGTTACAGAGGCACAGGCTCTGCCTTTGGTTGCTTTGCTGTGTGCGTCACTGCGACACCTCTTGCCCCTCGTCACTTCCTTGCCAGGACTGAGTCAGAAATAACTGCACACTTCTGTCCCAGGAACTGAGGTGGCTGAAGTGGAATGGCCCTGAGACTAGACATCGCCATGACCACCGTGTGTACACGCAGGCTGTCCTACCATGTACAGGCTTGCAGCCCTAGGAGGTGGTATGGCCCGTGTCTCCGTGAGTGCTTTGCTGGTGGCAGCTGTCATCTTTCTGTTGGTGCCTTGAGAGCCAGCCCCCTTCCTGCTCCCCTGAGCTTGTCTTCTTGTGGCAGGCAAGATCTCCACCTGGGAGGTGCTGGGCTCTGCAGCTGTGCTGTGGGGCTCCTGACTTATGTGACTTCACCTCCCGCCCTGGGAAAAGGTGAGGCTGGTCTAGAGCTCCCCTGCCCCCAGCCACGAAATTCAGCTTGGTCCTGTGGGATGGAGGGTCCTCCCTGTGGGATCCTATGAAGTGGATGGTGGCTCCCCCGCCTGCTCTTTGGGCAGGTGTTGAAGGAGTTGTGGCAGACACCACGGAGCAGTCTTTGTCCCACCCCCATCCTGCTCATGGTGTGCGACCTAGTGCATAGTCAGCTGGAGCTGCTGCAGTGAGCCTGGTCATGGCGCTGTCTAGCAGATGGTCACAGTGTGCTGTCTGGCTCCCTACCTTTACTGACCTTGGGCATGAAACTAAAACTTGACAGCGTGCTGTTCAGAGGAGAAAGTGTACGAGCACACGTCCAAAGTTTATTCCCAGTTCTCTGTGCCCGCACACTAGAAGACTGCAGAGAACAAACCAGTCCACTTCCAGATTATCATCTCGCCTGGGCAGGATGAGGCAAGTCTGGCAGAGACCAGCCAGAGTGGGGTAGGCGATCCTAGAGTGAAGGCTGTGAGAAGCATGTTTACAGCCCCGTCAGTCGCTCTAGGTCACACTCTTGGCGATCACTCTTGATCGTGGTGCAAAGGCCACTGGGAGTTGTGGTGGAAAGAGGTCATTAGGGGCCTAGGCTGGGTGATGTGGTCCCAGGAAACCCAGAATGCACTCAGGTGCTCTCCTCAGGCAGCATGATAGGCTCCTGGGCCTGGGTGGTTGTATCTTTTTAGACCCTGCCCTGCCCTGTGCTTAGCAGAGTGAATGTGCGTTTGCAGGCTCCCCTCCTAGGAGCAGCAGTCCTCTGTGAGCGCATACTCTGATCAGCAGAGGGCAGCAGAGTCTCTTTTCCTTCTTGGGTCCTGGAGCAGAGACCTGCAAGCCACTTCCTCCTGTGATAGAAC